GAATCAATGTATACTCTTGAACATTAGACAGTAATTGGGAAGTAATAGTGTATACTCTGGAATGTTAGACAATAATAAGGAAGTAATAGTGTATACTCTGGAACATTAGACAGTAATAGGGAAGTAATAGTGGGACTGATTATGGATTAGAGTTTTTACGATGATTAATTAATAATGCAGGAACAGTGCAGTACTCAGTATTGGTGAGGTTTTCCGTTTTCAAAAAAGTTTGATTGATTGAGAATAAAGTAAGGACAATACACTGTTTAACTTGCTAGTAACATGTTTCCACCAAAATTAGAAATGAAAAATATATATCTACAGATACTTTACTAAACAAGACAAATTTTGAATTACAGTAAATATAGTTAAAGTAATGATCATGACTGTACCACAATATGCAATCTCCAGTGCTTTTTAGCAACTCAAGATTATTGTAAGGTCATTTACAGCTGCATATGCTCACTCAATCGACACATGAAAGGAAGTGGAGCATCACGATGACAAGTGAGCAAAATGCTTATTGAAAGAAACCTTACTTGTAAGTGGTAAAATATTTTAACAGTTTTGTCTGTCTATACAGCATGTATTATGTTATGCTTTGAAGGAATGCTGCAAGTTTATGTAAGATGTTTCAGTTTATAAACATTTTGACTTCATAAAGTAGTTGGAACACAGAGTAAATTCAGAATTTTACAGCATGATTTTATGTTATGTCTAGATGAACATTCACTTTATAGTAATTTTGTGTTTGGAATAATTCCCACATTTAGGAAAATAATTCTGTTTGTTTCAAAAAATAGACTTTATCACAAAACTCCAACATATATACTATACAATAAGTTGGTTGCTAATGTTAACCCTTATATTAGGTATTCTACACTCTATGTAGGTCACTATATTTATATTTCAGAGCTTCTGTACCATAGATAACTTACTTGTAATTATAGGTGCAAGACATTAACTATGGTATCACAAAAACAAAATCAGATTGAGTGGTCATACATGTACAGCATCAAGCAATCATCTCTGACCTCGTTATTTCATAACTATCTACAGTGCATTGAAATTATTGCAAAGAAGAAAGAATTGATGCCACAGCTTGATCATCATACAACAGCTTTTATAGATCTCAACTAACATACAACATCTACTCCACAACTCACACTTTTAAACAGACACAAAAACAAACTTATGTTACTCCAAATAACTCTGTTGGATCTTCAAAACTTAGAGCAGTTACTCAACATCTTACAGTTTAGAAGATCTTGGCCAACACACAATAGCTACTCTACATCTTACACTTTAGTGGATCTTGGCCAACACACAATAGCTACTCTACATCTTACACTTCAATAGATCTTGACCAACACACAGTAGCTACTCTACATCTTACAGTTTAGAAGATCTTGACCAACACTCAGTAGCTACTGTACATCTTACACTTTAATAGATCTTGACCAACACACAGTAGCTACTCTACATCTTACACTTTAATAGATCTTGGTCAACACACAGTAGCTACTGTACATCTTACACTTTAATAGATCTTGGTCAACACATGATAGCTACTCTATGTCTTACACTTTAGTAGATCTTGACTAAGATACATAAATAGTAACAAACCTTTTTCTGAGGTCTTCAAAGATTTTAAGTGACATACAGTAGGTATTATAATCTCCACATTATACTTTCATAGATCTTAACCAACATACAGTTTTTAGTTCATCTCTCAGACCTATTAAGAGATCATGCTGGTATTAGATATTAATACATATGTGAGGTTTTTTTTTGTAGGATTATAGAAAAATTACATTATATGGGCTTACTTTCAATATCAAATTGGCACAAAATTTGAAAAAACACCTTTTCTGAGATCTTCAAATGATTGCCATATTGTAGTCGATTATTAATAAATCACTCATTGACCATTGCACTATTATCTTCCTGAGGTTTCCAATCACATTATAGAAATCCTTGTTTTTATGATTGTGTAATCACTATCCTATCTAATTTATTATTATTGCTTTGATACCATTATGGTTTGAAGAATTTCCTTTCATGATTACTGTGGACTGTTGTTGTTTTAGTTTTTTTGGTGTTCATACCTTATAATTTTCACATCAGTTGCTGTGAGCATGTGAAGAGAATTGTGTTTTTGTTCATATTTGTTTTATTGTGAGTAGTTTATAATTATATATATAGCTATGCTGTATTAGTGAGTATTGTACCTTTTTGTTTTGTAAGATTTTTTTATATTTAAATGAAAATGCAACTAGTTAACTGTTTAAAAAATAATCTCATGTGAATTACTACTTGAGATTTTTCAGTGTTAAAAGTATATTAAAAATGATTCAAATACTCGTATACTGTATATTTTACTATTCATTTTTTGGAGTTCTGTTTTTATTCTAACATCTTAACTCTCTGAGGACTGGCCCACATCTGTGCCTTATCATTTTTTTTAAATGTGTAATATAGCATTAACTCCAAAATATGTACATGAAAAATTACTGTGCTGTGAGTTGTTGTATTTTGTTAACTTGTGGATACTTAGCTTATCATTTATATGTACACTTAGTTACTTTCCTTAATTGTCCATATTATTTCATTACTTAGCATTATAAAAAACAGTTAACATGCACAAGTCTTCTAGTAATAAAACTTGCTGTATCCTAAGAAAAAAAATGAATTGATAATTTTATTGTTCTAGTCTACAATGATACCATCATAAAAACTTTGAACTCATCTATTGATATAAACAAAACAATAGCTACATGTCTAAATGGTGTATTTAAGTGTTTTACACTCACAAAAAAGAAACCTATCATTCTATGTTTGAAGAACTTGTAGCATTCTGCCACAATTTATTCAAAATTCATAGCAAAAAAAACTTCGTATTTCAATGTGATATATGTTTGTACACTTGAATACCACATTTGTGGCTATAGTTAAAAAAATAATAGTTTGAAGGTGACTCACATACTGAATTATGAGTTCACAAAAGATGTACTGTTATGTTCATAAACAACAAGAAACTCACATATGTAGATTAAAAGTGCAAGTTAAACATTAGTCATGGAAGAAAACAATGAACTTGGGTTCAAAGTATTAACTTTTTATGTTCACGTACAGTCCACTTGATAAATTGTGCATACAAAGGTTAATACATGCATTACACAAATTGTGGCATATACATACATAAATGTCTTCCACTTATGATTAACTTGAAATGGTTCTTTTCTTTTTCATTGCTGTTGTATGTTTAAAGTGTGAGTTTATTGTTCAGACATATACAATATATTAGAAATGTTATTTTTACGCATAGTGAACAATTTACTCCCATAGATATTAGATGACTTGATTATGAACTACAAACATAACACTAAAAACATGCTCCGCTTACTCTGCATTATTATTACAATTTCCAGTCTATTAGTATCTGATACCAAACATTTTCTTTGGTTGTGAATAATTTTATGGCTATTTTGGGAACAAACGTTTTTTAAAGTATACAATAGAATTGTTTTTTAGACATTTCATAATTAAGAACTTTATAGATTCATATTATACTAAAACAGTGGTTCTCAACTTGGGGTGTATATATACCAAGGGCACCCAGAGACCTTTGTAAGGGTGTACAAGGATCTTTGAAAAACAGTAAAAAAGAGAATAAACTCCACTTCTCAAAATTGGAGAGCAGTCTCATTGAATTGCCAACATATTCCAATAGCCATCACTCAATGTTCACTCACCTTTGAATTATTTTTCATGTACCTATAAATTAATATAATCATTCTTAAGTTTTTGAAATGAATTTTATGCTTTAGGAGATTGCCACTAGCTTAAACGTCTGACTGGGAGATATACAACATAAAAATATCATAATGATGGCTCTTCACTAAGACATCAGAATTTATTAAATCAATAAAGGAAAGTTTATAGCTGTGGTTGCATCTCATAACATGTTCTAACATTTCTTAATGTTATTAACATTTTCCATTTTAGAACACAGCAGGTTTTATCAAGAGATGAAAACTTATTAAAACATCTTATGAAATGGATGAGTCCTAATAACTGAATGAATTATCTTGATTTTTTATTATTTTTAAAACCTCACTAATAAAGGCATTTAGGTTTTCTACTACTTCACCTGAATTCCAGGTTAAGGATTAAAATATTTTAAATTGTTATATCATGACTATTTCACTAGCCTTTATTAATTACTTAATTTGTTATGATAAAACTAAAACCAGGATTCTTAATCATTCTCTGATTCCCCATAATTATTAGATCAGAAACACTGATGACAGTTTCACAAGACTTGGAGTGTGTAGTTACCCAAAATACGTTTTCAGCATGTTTTAAAAGTCTTTAGCATGATGGTTATCAAACATCGTAAATTCTCAATGAACTTTTTTATATTAATCAAGGAGTAATTTATACTGTATGTAATGTATATAGGTTATTAGTTTGTATTGAGAAATGTATTAAAAGTTATATGTTCAAATTCTTTTTTCTTTTGAAAAGAGCTTTCTAAGGTTTTTGGCAAGTTAAAAAATCTGCATTTTGTTTCATAGACAAATATTAATATATGGATTAGCAATATCAAAAAAGTTGTTCTTCAAAAAATGCACATCCAGTATTTACTATTATATTTTCAGCACTTCCAGCCAGTTTTTTTCATGTACATGTATGCAACAGTTTCATTTTACAAAGGTTGCCAGTTTTCAATGGGTTATACTATATATCAAAGAAAAAATATTATTAAGGGAGAATGGATCCCTTTTTTAATTTATTTTTTTATTGTGTAAGTAATGAGTATATAATTTGTAAACTTTTCTCATTACCTTACCCTCAAAACATTGTTTTTTTAAATACAAAAATACTGTTAACTTTCAAGAACATTATAGTCTTTGCCAGTTTTTCCTATAAATCCAAAGATAATAATAGTAACAAAAAAATTAATGATGAATATATTAGTAACCTTCAATTTATTTTTACACTAAATTCTGGTTCTGATACAAGTTCTTCACATGGTTTCTTGAATAAGTAATAATTCTGTTTTTATAATTTTACAGTTTTTAAGAACATGATGTGAGTTATCAAGGGGATTCAGAGCCACTAAAGAAGATTTACCTATCCATTATATGGCAAACAAGAGTAAACAGTAAAACAAAATGATGCAGGAAGATACCTGTATGGATGATAATAACAAACAAGATCTTCAGCAGGTTACAACCAGCAGTGTCAATCTTAGTTGTGGAAAGCAAGAACCAACCATCCTAAGAATTTTAACCAATCATCTATTGGACAGTGTTGATAACAAACTTGAGAATGATATCCAAGATGTAAACAGGCATCATGGTGGTGATATAAATGAAATTCAACATGAACCATGTTTTAAGGAGGTAACTATTTACCATAAAGACAGCAGCCATTATAGACATGATGTAGCAAGTAATGGTAAAGAACAAATTGGACAAAACATTCAGAAATATACAACTGATTATAAAAGACAGGAAAAATGTATTCAGCAAGATATGGCTGGCCCTTCTAGGTGCAGTAGTGAGAATTTAGAAGTCTTACAAGATTGTGCTAACAGTCATCATCTTGACATCAAGGACCATCAGAAGGGACAAGACACGCTAGATGATACCAATTATTATAAAACTACTCATGAAAACTATTCACTTCAACCAATCCAAGATCATATATCCTTTCAGATCAAAGACATTGACAATAGTCAACCAGGACAAGATATTATAGAAAACATAACCAGACAGTGTGAGGACTTTAAGAACAGTCAGCCAAGAAAGAATATCAAAGATAATATAGACAGTCATTGTGAAGACAATAAGAATAATGAACCAAGAAAAGACATCAAAGATAATGTAAACAACCATTGTGAGGACATTAAAAACAATCAGTCAAGAAAGGGCATCAAAGATAACGTAACCAGCCATTGTGAGGACACTAAGAACAGTCGGCCAACAACAGACATCGAAGATAATGTAATGAGTCATTGTGAGGGCATCAAGGACATTTGTTCACGAAAAGATACTCACAATGTGATTGAACAGTACCAAAATAATAGTGAAAATCATGAGATAAAGCAAATTCAATATAATGTAGTAAGTACTTGTGGGGACATTCTGCATAAAAAAGATATTCTAGTTGTGACTTATAATAAGGATAATAATAAGAATGAGAACCAGAATATGCAACATTCTGATGATGATCTAATCAGTCACTATAGGGACAGTAACAAGATTCTTCAAGGAAAAGACAATAGGAACAGTAATAACAACCAGCAGATTCAGTATGTCCAAAGTAATATAACCAGTCAGGATGGGGACAGCAGTGATCTAAAGCAGGAACATATCATCCATAATGTGATAAATCTTCATAATAGTCATAGTGATAGTCAGCAGGAAGAAAAACTTACAGAAGTGGCCAATTATTGTGGGAGCTCTAATAATTACAACCGGCAGGAACAAAATATAGCTAAAAAACTATGCAAAACTATCATGCAGTATGATGTTGGAGATGAATGTGGTATAAAAGCAAACAGCAAGCTCATAACTACAGAGAAATTAGAAATAAATTTAGGTAATGAAAACAAAGTTTTTTGCACTGATGATACAGATCCAGGTCCTCCAGTGCTAGAAGTGGAAACTTTAGAACCAACAATTGTCAGTGGTGAAACTGCTCAGTCTCCTCCCATTCTTGATGCCTTGTCATTAACATCTTTCCATACTCCAGCCTCCGAAGGACTGCCTAATTTATGGTTGAACCCAGAGGGTAAGAAGGGTCTTGTAAATTCCCATCTCACGTGCACTACATCTAAGGATAATTAAATTCTCTATTACAGAATTAAGTTGCATAAAAACATCTCACAAAAAAAGTCTAGAGCCAAAATCCTTGAAAGTGAATGCAGATGCTAAATAGCATAGAAGACCAAGATCATCAACATGTATATGTTATCATAACTTACCAATAACTTTCCAAAGTTTATACATGCTCATATACCTCATGAATGTTTTATTCCTATTTTTGGCTACCATTTTTTTCTTTGAGATGTATATGGATGGAAAAGAAAAGGATAATCTTGAAATTTAAGTATCATTACTTTGTGTCTTTCAGACATTTTATTTACCTTCATTTTGTATTTGTAAAATATAATTACTGCTGAAAGTTGTCGGGGTTTGGATGCATTGAGTGAATATTTAAAATATGTATTCTCAGGCTTGTATGTAACTTTTAATGTAGTTGTAATAGCAGAATTATTTAACTTCATTTGAGAAAAATAATTATGTCTCCTCTGATTTTGCAAAATGTTTTGAAACAAAAATTAAGCTCAAATACAATTCTAGTCACTCTTACTTCAATTAGGACATAATATCTGTTTTTTAGAGAGGATGTTGTCAGTGATCATGGATGTTTCTGTGAGCCTGTATACTAGATGTGTGTGTTTATTTGTGATATTACAACCATTCAACACTGTAGTGCTATACTCATTGCTGATGCACATTCTAAAGTAACATGCTTCTGTCAAAATGGCTGCAACTAGTTCAAAGAAACTACATTTACTTCCAAATACTGAGTTCTGGCATTGTTGAAATACTTTGCTGATGTTCAGTGTCTTGCCTTTTTTTTGTTCTGTTAAGTAAAATTTTATTAAAGTTTTTCATATACCATTCCCTTTAGCCCCTGGCATCACTAAGGCATATGGTGAAGGATTTAGAACAGACGAAAGTTTAATAACCACACACAGAATATTTTAGTTATACAAGTGAAACAACTTAATAATTTTAATTTTAGCATAGATTTTGAAAAAGTAACATATGTTTATAAATTTCACCATTACATGATCATGACTTGTAAGTCAGACAAACATTGTACTCTTTAAATTTAAGTTTGAGAAATTATTTCTTATTTGATCAATACTTTTTTCAGTCAAGTCTCTTCAAAGTTATGTTTTTTAACCACTAATGGCAATACAACTGGAATACAGAAACTTGTGAGAGGTAGGTCTTGGATAATTTATCTCACAAAAAATTCATGTCAGTTTTGACCCTTGCCTTACCTTTTGTTCAATTTTTTTTCCTTAAATTTTGAATGACATTTTTGGCACTAAAAGAACTTTTGAACTTTTTTTTTTAAATGAATATTTTTTGTAGTGAAAGGCAATGGTTGGTTTCGTAACCAGTTTAGTTTAGCATTCCAGTTGAGTGTCATTTTTCAGGTGATCTCAATAGCTGTTTCTTTGTAGTTTATTCTTTAGGATGTCATGTATGTATAAACTTTTTTCTCAAACAAATCATCTAAAGATGGAGTGTGACTGACCTTACTAATGTCTGACATACATACATACAAGCAATCAGTTGACCAGTTTTGTTAGTCAGAGTATAGAAGTGCTTTTTCTGTTGTCTGAGTAGTTAATCGGTAACAGCTTCAGTATCATAAGTTATACAGATCCAGTTCTGAATTTTTTATTTGGTGATCTTCCAGGCAGGATATTCAATCTTCATTTATTCTTCTTTGTTTGCTGACTTTCTTATAGCAGTGGTGGCTTTTCATTCAATATACTTGTGCTATCCTTAACCTCCAACCTTTTTACTCATTAGATTTAGTATTTAAAATATTGTTTTGTATTTCTGTATTTGAAGAAAAACAAATGTTTGATGAAAGTTTCATAAAAAAATATAATAATCCCATCTTAGAGCTACATAAACTACAAATGACTGTAGTTTTGAAGTTTTTGTAGCCTTGACAAATTTCTTACTGGTTTAGTTTTCAAATCATATAGAAAAATCAACTCCTCTTGAAGAGATACATCAAGAAAGCCAAACATCAGTTGATTCTTACTTTCATAATACAGAGCTTGAAGTGAAGCAGAGAGAGAGTACTGGCAATGAGGAAGGTAAAATACTTTATTTATTTATCTATATGCTATACATATCTTTTAAAATCAATTTATTTATGTATTTCATAAATGAAAGAAGACATACATTTTGGATATGTTAACTTTGAATTTCAAAGATGATGCTATTGTTATTGAACAAAATATGCTCAATAATAATCTAGGCCTCTAGCACTACTTCTTTCATTTAAGGAAGTTAATGCATGAAAATTTGGTATTCTTGAATAGAGTTTATAAATCAGAGAATTTCAGTTTTTTATTACAGATTTTCCATATATATTCATATTAACAGCAGACTTGTGCTTCATAGTACATGTTATGGAGAATATTGGTATTGTTCAGTCATATTACATATTTTAGTTTTTCCCTGTTTTCCAGTTATTTTCATACATTTCTAATCAAAACAGACTACATATATAAATTAAAACTAAAAATTGAGTATGAATCTAGTTGATTCAGAAATACAATTTGCATCTCACTGAGAACAACAGCTATTACCTTGTATCGGGGCTTGAGTGAATCTCACAGCAAGGTATCTCAAAATACAGCAAAATACAACTGGAGTACTAGAAAAAAAATGCCACATACCATTGAAAACAAAGGACAAAGATGGGGGTTACTTGTTCTGCATCAGGATGGAAAGAACCAAAAGCAAAAACAGGTGATGGGAACAGAAAGACAAGTCAGGGTCAGCTGAAGAAACAGAAGCAGGAGGTCAGGAATACTAGCAAATAGAATGGAACCATCCACTTGGTGTACAATGGAGATAACATCATCAACCATCAGGTTGTCTAGCCACCATTCAAACAGTAAAAGTTTCATGGAATATCAGAACCTCGATAGGTTTCAGAAACATGGCTACATGAATTCATAGTCAACAGGTGTCCCACAATTTCGTAATTTGATTAAGAGAAAAAATAAAATTATTATAAGAAAATATTATAATTTGAATCTGAAATTCTGACTGAAATGTTTAAAATTTTGTGTCTTTCTCAGAATCAAGAAAATATAGGTAGGAAAGACTATGCTTCTGTTGATGCAATCAGCATTAGACTATAGCCCTCCAGCAGTAGGAGAGAGAGACACATCCTCCATGCTCCATCCCCCACGAGCACCTCATCTATTAACAAAGACTCATTCTTTCCTTAGCACCAGTTGTCTTCAAAAAATATTTTTTCTTATGAAGTGGGAAATCTTTGCACGTATTCTTTTAAACTTTTAGTCCCCCACTATAATATAATTGTTAAAGGATAAACTATTTTGTATAATGTAAAATACTTTTTGTTGTTAAGTTTGAATATGTTCTTTTTTATAGATGGAAGTGATACTGCTGAGCCAGAATTTGTTTGGGAAGATTACCTAGATGAAACTGGATGTGATGCTGTTCCTCCCACAGCATTTCTTCATGTAAGTTCACTTATTCGATGGTAAAGCAGTAATATATTTGAAAAATTACTTGTACAAAGGTTGATATAATAGTAGGTTCCGTTCGCAGCTTTGATTCATTTAAGTAAACACATTCTTTATTTAAAGGTAGAGAAAGGAGTAGTCATAATTGTTGTCCAGTGATTTGAGGCTTCTTCATTTTATTTCTGGGTTGCTGATTTTCTCACTTGTTAATTTTTTTCAATTCAATAATAAAATTTTTTTGGGGCTATAAACTGTACAAAAAGAATCTCTTCCACAAATATAAATAAACATTAAAGACTATGATGTATACCTCATTTATTTATTGCAGTAGTTTCTATAACACAGGCCTGTGAAGGTTTTATTGTCTTGAAATTTTTCCGTTCTCCAGTAATTTCTGTATTCTTAATCCAAAAAAATGTTATCCATTTTTCTCCATCACGTACAAAAGTTTTACATAATGTCATAATACAATACGTAAAAGAAAGACCACAACACATAGTTTGAGACTATTTCATTTGACATCAGTATTCTTCCCTTTTCTTCAGTTTGTTTGTATTTTTGTTAACAAACATAATAATAAAAAAGTGTTCATTGTGGTAAAAGAAATAGTAATTTCATCTAAGTGAGATTTCTTTTTCGTCCTGATTTGTAAAAACTCCTTACGTTATGGAAAAAATGAATATTATTTTTGAAATCTGTGTAGTTGAATTATGGAAAATCCATTATTAAAATCAGAACAGCTTTTATGAAGTTTTAATTCACAGGCCTGTGTAATTGTAGCAAAGTTAAACAATTTCTGGTGCTCAGAATAAATACATTATGGTGTAATATGTCTTTCACATTATACCAAAAAAGTTTGATACAAGCAGCATTGACTACCATTACAAATATTTTATTATGGAATGAAACAAGCTCAAAGCATTTCAACTTATTGAAAGGAATGATTTAATGTACAAGAGTCAGCTTTATAAGTTTGTTATTCAGCAATGTTTATTCATCACAACAAAGAGCTATTACCTCATGCCACTGCCATAAAGGTTTTTGCACTCACCACAAGCCTTGAACGAAGCTATCACTACTGTGATGTAGTCATCATTAGACTGTAGCCCTCCACCAATAGGAGGGCAACACATCCTCAATGCTGAGTAATTCCCATGAGCACTAGCATTTGAACAAAGGCACAATCTTTTTTCAGTGATGCTTTGTTCTAACGTATTTTTTCTTAAGAATTAATAACATTTTTGCACTTATTATTTTAATCTTTACCAGTTGTAGTGTAATCTTTCTTTCCTTAATTTTATTGATTTTGATATCAAATTTTAAACAGTTCAGTTAGAACCTTGATTTGAATTATCTTCAATTTGATTTTTTCTTTTAATCAACTTTGTAAATCGTGATAGGTAAATATCTATTAGAAAAACATTTTCAGGTAAGGCAAATGTGAACTTTTGAGACGTGTCTGAAAATGAATTTTTGGCAGCAATAATTCCCATTGTTTTAACACAGTGTACAGTTTTATTAAATACTCTTCATTGTTGTTATTAGGCCTATGCACCATCAACTTACCAGGCTAATTTTTTATTTCTAAAAAGTAAGATTTTGTGGCTCATATGAATTACAAATTCAAGTTTCTGACATCTCCTGAGGCAACATTTCACTTAAATGTTTTACTACATTGGTTCATCTCTCCAGTTCATTCAACAGGAGGAGTGATCCAATAATGTAATGACGATATGGATTATCAGCAGTGATTTCTGCTAACTTAGGTTTTTTGCCTTTTTGAACTGGGGGACCCTACCGGATTTCTCACCTCCAGTCTGGTGGAAGCTCAGCTTTCTCACTATGTATATATGTAGACTCCCATTACCACAGACTACTAGAATGCCATCAAATAATTTCTTGACTCACTCTGGAGTTTCACTCCTGTTTTTTTTGTCATTCTCATGAAGAAGGGAGGTTGGTGTCCTGTCATAGAGCTACCTCACTTGAACCAACTATAGTATTTCCTCAGTTCAAAATGAACAGTTTTCTCACTCTGAATTGCATACTGTCCTGTGTTGTGGACGACTAGAACCAAGGTCACTGATGCTTTCTTCTCATCCCAGTTGTCTACCTGCCTTTCACATTTTTTGATTCATCCACAGTGGTTAAACATCTGATTCACAGCCCTTCCCTTTGAGTTGGCTAGAACCTCCATAGATTTTTTTCTTTTGGTCTCCAATCCCAAACTCTACAGATTTGGCAGAGAAAGTTCTGTGTCTGGAGTAGTTTGATCTCTTTTTAAAAGATTTATACATATTTTCTTCTTCTTCTTTTTGGCTTGTGGGAGCCTTCACTCTCACCATTTTTCCTTGGACATTTCCCACTCTATTTATCACAGGACAGGTTTGTCTTCTACCCCGACTGCTACTCCCACCCCTAAAAAAACTGCTTGGGTGGGGGATTGGGTGTTTTCTTCATTTAGCTTTTCTTTCATCCCTGTATGATTATTCTGACCCAGATAGTAATCTCACTTGTACTGCCCTTTTTAGGGCAATTGACAATGTCTTTTCTTGCCATGTGATTTGTCTTCTTCCAGTAACTCCTTTCATTTTGCCTTATTGATTTATAAACCATATCTGGGTAGTTTATTCTTCTGTGGTGATGACACTTTTCTTATTTTCTATGTATCCTCCTCCCATCAAGTTTGTCATCTTACAGCTTCTCTTGCCTCTAGCCATCGTCATCCACCGGATCTTGCAGAATGAGATGTGGATGGCCCTTTGCACATTAGTGTCACATGACTTACATCACATTGGGGTTTCATCTCCCTCCATTCTCCCCAGAGACTCTTGCAAAGTATTAGTTATTTTATTGTTGTTGTTTTTTACATCTTCCACACGACCATTATTATATATCAATGTACATATTTACTAGAAACAATGAAAATTGCCAATTGGCTGGTGATGCTTCATAGGGAATACTTCTATTTTCCAAAATTAGCATTGAGTTGCGAAGTACAGAAAGTATTAAGCCTATATGTCCCTGCCCTGTGCCCACTGTTTAGATAGGGTTTTCTGCAAGATTGCTTTGACAGTGTATATGTATTTATCTTTCAGACTGTACTTGACAAATAAAATAACAGCATCAGGTGTGTGCATCCCCTCATACCTGGCTGTCCATATTTTTCAATTTTCTGCATGTTCCATAAACTTTTCTAATGTATCAGCTGTATGCAAATAAACTTTGGTCAGATAAAAGTGGTTTTGTGATAAGAAGTTTGAACATTTATAATTTTAATGGTTTTCTTAAGTGGAAGTTTTGGTATTTTTTCTCTTACTATTTTATTTTATTTGTCTGTAAAATACAGGTAGAAAGAAGCCTTGAAAGTGGATTAAAGGTAGGAGCTAAAGTAGAAATCCCCAACCCTGATTGTCCTGGTACTTATTGGGTAGCTTCTATGGTCATGACCTGTGGTCCTCTTTTATTACTTCGTTACTTGGGATTTGGAACAGACCGGTCAGCAGACTTCTGGTGTGACTTGACTTCAAGTGAAGTCCACCCTTTAGGATGGTGTCAGGACAATGGTAAAGAAAAGTGTCCTCCTAATGGTAGGTTTAATGTTTTGATAATAATAATAATGTGTGCCAAGGCAGTGGTGATACATATACAAGTGTTTGATTTCTGTTAAAGCACAAAGTTACACAGCAGGTTATCTGAGCTGTGCCTACTGCAAATATTCAACCCCAATTTTTAGGGTTATAAGCCTTCAAACTTGCTTTTGAGGTAGTATGATGGACATAAGTACTTTAATTTGTTAGAAACACCTATTATTAGTGGCACTGCAATCTTCATCATTAACCAGTGTTTCTCAATGTTTTTTCCTGATGAACTTCTTCATGAACCAAAGACAGTTTCACAGACCCATCTACTTAAATAGGTCTATTTGTAGAAACTATTCTCTCCATTTCAGAACCACTCTAGAATGTTCAAAGACTCCCTAGAAGTCCACAGAACACAGGTTTAGAATTAAGGGCTTACACTATGTCTTTTTATGTATAATTTATTTTCATTTCAAGAACTAAATTTATCCTCTGTTGCTACTATTGGATGGCATTGTTAACCAGTAAATGAAATGTCTATGTTCAGTATGCTTTTTATGAATTCCATTTAGACATTTTGTATCCTATTGGTAAGTTGCTTTTATGTTCAAACTAAGTAACAATTGCAGAAATGTTTAGTAGCTACCAGAAACAGAAATATTTCCATGGGTAAACTACATAGCAGATTTAGGTTTCTTGTATCGATATACCTGTTTCATCATCAGACAAAACATGTGAGATAATAGAACTAGGTATTTTTGTTGTTAAAAAATCATTAGTTATTGGATTTTGTTTTCATATTGCTGGTATAACAACATTGCCATTGACAGCAAAATAAATTGTGAATGGAAATCAGTAAACATATAACTGACCTGTAGTTATTACGTAGAATCATATTGAACTGTTATTACTGTTAAGTGCAGAAATGAACTTTTTTCTGTGGCAGCCAAAAAATTTTTCTTTTCACTGCAACAGATCTCCCATAATTTTGAAATGGCTGCCAAACATCCATATGTGCTACCATCTATGAGCAACGTTGATAAACACAAACCTAAACAAGACTTGGCTGATCCACACATGCTGCTTACACTAGTGATAGGCAATTGATTAGGCCCAACATGGCCAGGTGGTTAGGGCGCTCGACTCGTAGTCTGA